ATATTTACTGAACACCCAAACATACCATTGGTATGACCAACACTACGGATTTATAGCAAAATTGCCATATAAGGAAAATACCGGCAATGTTTAATCCGGACATGTAGATCGATGTGTAAGCCATTAATATATATTTTATCCTACTAAGTCATTCGATGTACATATATATACAGTATATAATTTATAAGCATCATTATACTGTAGTTATGTAGCAAAAAAAAAAAGAAGATAATCACTTTTAAAAGATAGGGTTCAAGAAAACGAACAAGAAAAAGTAATAGTTTAAAGAAACGTGATAAATAATCGACGAAATTGAAGATGTTTATTTTTATATTATAGTATATATATAGTAAGAAATTTATAAATTCATTGTGATTTATAAAATTCATAATTCTTACTTTGCCTTCTTTTCCATATATATCAATATAGTAATTTACGTGAATAAGCTTAATTGAAATTTTATTCTATACATTTAAGTTAACATAAATCTATACATTTACTTTAGCCAAAAGCTTCGGTATTTAAGGTAGACATAGTTTTAGCATCAACAGTTTGGAACGACACTAAAGATGCAGTTAGGCAAGTAATTTAACACCATCTACGTAATCTGTCACAGTTTTCGGACGTGTATCCGGCTGATCAATCAATTGTGGACGTGCGTCAAGCTGATTAATCAATCGATTGATTTTATCATAGATAATGGAAACAAGTACAGCACTTTCCCGTAAAGTTTTTTTAGTTTTTTTATCCTGCTTACTAAATATTTTCAACTTTTCAAACCGTTTAACTAATTCTTCATCCTGTTCATCGTCGTCAATAGATTCATCCAGTTTAGGAGCGCTTTTTGATTCATCCAGTTTAGGAGCGTTTTTTTGATTCATCCAGTTTAGGAGCGTTTTTTGATTCATCCAGATTAGGAGCTTTTTGAAAATCAAATAATTCATTATATATGACAGGCAATATAGGAGGATTATTGACAAATATGGTAACACCCTGAGGTATATATGGAGTTGTCAGTCCGTGCATAGGATATACAACTGAAGTGTTAAACGAAATATTGTGTTGGACCATGTCAGGATAGGAATTTGTATAAGATAAAGCACTGTGTTCTACATCAGTACTTGGAGGGTTAACATTATCAACATGTGGATAAAGGCTACCATCGCTAAATTCTTCGGGTTGAAAAGGATAAATATTAGAGTTTACCGATCCAGAGTTAATATTAAGCTCATTATCATTATCATTGCCTTCAATATCTTTTAAAAGGTGTTTCATGAAATCACCGACTCCAACTAAATCTTCTTTTTGATAATTGATTAGATTAATATTATCTTTGCTAAGGCCTTGATCAAAAACTCCTAATTTATCCATTAAATCTATAATAATAGAAAGTCATATAAAATTTGATATAAATTTTTAATATAATAATAAAAAATAAACGTACCTTCACTATACTGGGGGTCTACTTTATTTCTTTTTACATCCTGAATGAATTCATCCACAAAATCTACACTGCGCTTATGGTTATGTTTAATAATATTAGTTGTAGATAATGGAGGATTGAAATTGTAATCTAGATCAAATGAAGGTGGACCAAAATTTGCATAATCAACACCAAGAATTTCTTGACCAGATAACTGCTGATATTTATAGACTAAAAATAAAAATAAAAATAATAAATAATTTTTTATAAATTAATATATTAGAATTAAGATGCATATTTAGAATTAAAATCTCACCTATATCGGAAGTTTCACTTTCTGGCGAGGGAGGTATTTGTGGTGGAGAAGAAGTATAAGAAATTGAAGGATCATCGATTGGATTTTGTGGAGGAGTAGGTGGTTGATTATTTTTATGTCTGTTATTTTTTCCTAAAATTGATGCTTGATGTTCTTCAGAATGAATTTTCTCATGCTTTTTTAAATCTTGGGGTCGTTTGAAAGCCTTACGACAGCGCTATCATATGCATAACGTATAGATAGTTTCAAAAGTTTAGAAACTTAATAATTGTCTAAATTAATAAATTATTTACACTTACAGGACAAACATGTGGCTTCAATGGTACGTGAACTCTTAAATGACTGGTAATATGATCTCTCTTAGTTGTTTGAACCTCACATTTATCCCAATGACATTTAAGGCATAGATTTCCTGTAGACTTTCTTCCAACGTGATCGTTTGCCAAATGTTGATAAAGCAATTCAGGATCTTCAAAGCTGCGATTGCATTGCTTCCACAGACAAATCATTTCTTCATTTTTAGCAGAAGGAGGTGGCGTCACAGACATGTTGACAAACTTAAAAATTTTTGGGAATAAAATAAAATTTAACTGTTAACTGGTTTATAAAATATGAAGAATTGAATCAAAGTTAGAGTTGGTTTCTTTTTTATAACCTGTTGTTGGTAAAGAATGTGCTAAATTTTTTGTCGTGACAGTTCAAATCGTAATGATATATATATTACTAGCCAAGAATTAAAAAAAGACGAGTTATATAGTTTCTAATTATAGTCATTCCTTGGCAAACGTTTTATACAGGGTGTTGGGTTTATGCCAAGAATCTTGAATTGACTCAGGTTACCTTAATTGTTTCATCTCTGCCAAGTATACCGATACCGATACGTACGCAAATCTAATTTCTTATACTAAAAAGGTAATAAAATTAATTATAATCTTGACCAGAATTAATTTTTACTGTAAACAAAGGGATTCTAAACTCCGGAAAAATACTGAAGCCGTTATTAAGTGTTGTATTTGCGATGGTAAAAAAGCATCTATAATGATCTTTAACAAAAATAGTTTTCTAGAAATCTTATTGTAAAAATTGTGTTAAGTTTTTTTTAATAAGGTAATATATATATATTAGATTATTTATACGTATGGTATTGGTTAAATCACATGAAAATTGCATAATGTTAAATAATTAAGCACAGTAAGATTAACCACTTGATTGTCTCAGAGATACAGTAATAACAATGCGAGAAATAGGTCATCGCGGTATACGTATACAGTAGGAATAAGAAACTAAGCTAATTACAAGGTAATATTACCGTAAAAAAAAAAGCATGTGCTGACGATTTCTTAAAAATTTTCGACTCGTTTAGCTACGAGATAACGTGATATAAATAAATCACGTGACTGCAGACTAATATCTATCTATATTGATCTAATTATAGTAAATATATACGATTTATTAAATTACTATTTAACGTTAACGTTAAATCATTTACATTTATACCTTCTAAAATCATCATTATTACTACACTGTTATCGTCAGTGGCTTTGTCGCCACATTGTTCTTAATTCAAGAGTGTTATCATTATTACCACCATTGGAGTTTCTGTTGCGTTGTTTTTCTATTAGTAGTCAATTATGTAAATATTCATCATCTGTGCTTAGAGAAAGATTATTCCGAGCGAAATTTAAAGTTCGAAATTTACTATCTATATGTGTATTTTTGTAGGTTGAACCAAAATCATTTTGGCAAAAATATTATATACGTATCGAAGATTATACCGGAAATTCTCGAAATAGCAGGCATGGGCGTTATTTCGAAAATCATACCCCCTAAAGCATAGTTGAGCACTTAATGCAACATATCTGATATCAGAAGATTTATACGTAAGCGTAAGATAGTAACTTGAAATAGCACGTATGATCGAAATTCGAAGATTTTTTAAAAAAAGTTTATTGATATTGGCTTAGTGGTTATTGAGAAACTTTTGCTAGAATTATAAGAAATTTAAAGTATATACAATAGAATAAACTAAGTTTTAAATAATAATTTTATTTTAAATCTGTAAAATCTGTAAAAAAAAAAAACGTTTTATGCTTATTAAATAATGCACAATTTTTAAAACAATATAACTCTATTTTACAATCTTGTTTAAGTTAAAGTTGTGTACAAAATTTAGCTAGTTTTTTTTTTAATTAGAACATAAAAGTTGGTTTCATAGCAGAGCACAAAATTGTGGCATGACGTATCCTGATATTTTTCCGGCGATCTTTTTATTAATCAGTAATGATGTAAGAAAGTGTTAAAATTCTTGAACAACGAAAATTTCCGACTATCAAAAAATTGTGCCGGAATTTATAGTAGATTTTGTGCTCTGTTTCATAAAAAAAACTGATTATCATTAAAATTTCACGTTACACCTGATCTTGCAATTTAATTGGGTAATTTTGTATCTATTTGTGCTCAATTTTGAATATTCGACATACGTAAAATAACCTGACGTCAGTGTAACATACAAGCACGAAAAAAAATAACATCCTTCGAGCTTGAAAATAAATCGATCGAATAATCGAAGAGATCTCAAATTCTGTGCTTTGTTAATCATGCTTATTCGTCATCAGGTGGCACTTCCTCCAAATTATCCTTACATTCCAATATCTCAGCATGTTTATCTCATGGAGCCCGCTAAAGAATATCAATTTGAGCTGGATCCGTTCCAGAAAGCGGCAATCGCGTCGATTGAAAGATCAGAATCAGTTTTAGTTAGTGCTCATACTTCGGCCGGCAAGACTGTAGTAGCTGAGTACGCGATTGCTCTAGCATTAAAAAATAAACAGAGAGTAATCTATACAAGTCCGATTAAGGTATGCATCAGTAAAGTTAATGCCATTATTCAATACTCAGTTTAATTCTATTTTCTTTTATTTAGGCTCTAAGTAATCAAAAATATAGAGAACTGGAATCGGCTTTTGGTGATGTGGGTTTACTAACGGGTGATGTGACTATCAATCCAAACGCGAGCTGTTTAGTGATGACAACTGAGGTTGGTAAGTGGGCAACTTTAAAATTTTTCAAATAAAGTAATCAATGTCAAATTTTATCAAATTTCCTAGATTTTACTCGCAATGCTTTATCGTGGTAATGATGTTATTATGCGAGAAGTCTCCTGGGTTGTTTTTGATGAAATTCATTATATGCGAGATAAAGGTATGTGCCTGATGTATTGTAAAAAAAAGAAAATATTTGGTTTTAACCCTTATTTCAAACAGTAAGGGGTGTAGTTTGGGAAGAAGCTCTAATATTATTACCTCGTCAAGTACATTTTGTTTTCTTGTCTGCAACAATTCCCAATGCAATGGAATTTGCTGAATGGATATGCAAGATACATGCTCAGGTTGGCATTAAGTCTTTTAAGTGTCATAAAAGGATATAATTTTACGTGATTTAATTTCATTTTCTTTCATTTTCTTTCATGTTCTTTCGTAGCCATGCCATGTTGTATATACTGACTTTCGTCCCACACCTTTACAACACTACATTTATCCTTGTGGAGGTGACGGTATTTTTATGGTAGTTGACGAAAATGGTGCCTTCAAAGAAGATAATTTCTTACAAGCAACTCAATCATTATTACCGGATCAAGATGTTGAATACAAATCTCTTAAGGGTAAGAAAGGGACTGTAATTGATAGATCCACCAAAGGTATAAATACTCATTTTAAATATATTTAAATATATAGTTTTTTTTTTTTTCTGCAAATTTTTACATATGTTTATTGTTTGCGCTTTTATAATTATAGGTCCTTCAGATATTATTAAAATTATAAATATGATTATGCAAAGGGATTATCAACCTGTAATAATTTTTTCTTTTGGAAAAAGTCTGTGTGAAAGTTATGCAATGCAAATAAAGCATTTTGATTTTAATAATGGCAAGTTGAATCTGTTGATTGATTAATATTTATGTATTTATATTAATATCATATGAATTATAATTGTCTTAATAATTTTTATAGATGAAGAAAAAAGATTGGTAAAAACTGTGTTTGATAACGCAATTAATGTGCTTGATGTGGAAGATCGGCAATTGCCACAAATAAAATTTTTATATCCTTATTTGTTACGTGGCATTGCCTTTCATCATTCTGGATTATTACCTCTTTTAAAAGAAATAGTCGAGTTGCTATTTCAGGAAGGTTTAATAAAGGTCTTATTTGCTACTGAAACTTTTGCTATGGGACTTAACATGCCAGCTAGAACTGTAGTTTTTACAGATGTGAAAAAATTTGATGGTGAACATGTTAGATATGTATGTAATTTTCCTTTGACTTAATATTACTAAGGGAATGGAAGGATAATTTAATATTTTTATATTATTTAATTTGTTTAGATAACTTCTGGTGAATATATTCAAATGTCAGGCCGTGCAGGTCGAAGGGGCATTGATAACAGAGGAATCGTGATCTTAATGGCAAAGGAAAAAATGGCCCCCAATGCTATTAAGGAAATGATCATGGTAGCTTTTTTTAATTGTTTTCAATAAATTTCAATAAATAATGTCATGAAAATTTAACACTTTATTGCTTTATATAGGGTGAATCAGACAACTTGACCTCGGCTTTTCACTTAAAATACAACATGATTTTGAATATGTTGAGAGTTGAAGGGATTAGTCCAGAATTTCTTTTGAAAAATAGTTTTTATCAATTTCAGAATACTGCTACCTTACCAGCACTTGAAGAAGGTATATTTTTGATGAAATTATTTATATTTTTGATAGATATTTCTACTAATGTATTTCTAATGTCAAATATTTATCTAGATCTCCGTCGAGCAGATTTGGATTATTCTAACTTTATAATACCTGATGAAGATGTCATTACCGAGTATTATGATACTCGCAGGCTATTGGATGTTTATACTCACGAAATGAGGCAAATCATAAATCATCCATCTAATTGTCTTCAATTTCTTAAACCAGGCAGATTGGTACGAGTAAGACATGCAGATATGGATTTCGGATGGGGGATGGTAGTTGCATATGGGAAAAGGGTGGTAAGCTAATTATTAAATTGTCTTTTATTTTAATATAATGATTTCTAATAATTTTCTATTATTTTGAACAATATTATTAGGATCAAAATTATACTACGGACTCGAACCTTGAACAAAGATTGCAAGAAAATAATGATAATCAAGACAACCAATCATCATCTGATAAATATTTTGTTGATGTATTATTATATTGTGATAAAGATTCTATTGTTGCTAAAGCAGCTGATGGAACAACTACTGGTGTAAGGCCTTGTAAAGAAAATGGGACTGGTGAAATGATGGTAGGATACTTACAAACTGGTAACGTAATATCATATATTTTGGCTTTGTAACATCCCATTCTCATACTCTCTTAGGTTGTCCCTGTCGAATTAAATAGTTTGTATTGCATAAGTCAGATCCGTATATTTCCTCCCAAAATTTTGGCACTTAAACAAGTTAGACAAAGTGTTTATGATAGTATTCAAGTAATAATTAAACGTTATCCTAATGGATTAACACCACTAGACCCTATTGAAGACATGGGTATAGAAGATGAAAATTTTCACAAGTTGATAAGGGTATGTTTTTTGCACATACTTCTCATACGCATATTTGCAATTATAATTTTTCTATGTATTACTAGAAAATCGAAGTTCTTGAAGATAAACTTTTCTCCAATAAACTTCATAACATTCCACAACTTCCATCATTATATGAGCAATACGCAAAAAAAGTTGCACTTCGTGCCAGAATAAGAGCCTTGAAAAAGAAAGTCAACAAAGTTCAATCTATCTTGCACCTGGATGATCTTAAGCATCGTAAACGAGTTCTACGTCGAATAGGATATTTAACCGATGATGATATAGTTACAGTTAAGGGTCGTGTCGCCTGTGATATCAACGTTGGTGATGAAGTTGTTCTGACTGAAATGTTACTAAATGGTGTTTTTAGTGATTTATCAGTTGAAAAGATAGCGGCGCTTCTCAGTTGCTTTGTAATAGAACAACATGATAAAGAAAGGGTCAATTTAAGAGAAGATCTATACGTTGTATATCGTAGATTACAGGAGATTGCACGAAACATCGTAGCTGTATCAATAGAGTGTAAGCTTCAAATAAATGAAGAAGAATATCTTGCTAGTTTCTGCCCAGACATGATGGAACTAGTGTATAGTTGGTGTCAAGTATGTTATATTAACATTTTTAAAAATATTTGTAACTGTTTATTAATTCAATATTCACATTAATTCATAAACCTTTATAATATATAGGGAAAATCATTCGCAGAAATTATGAAAATGGCTCAAAAATACTATGATGGTCATGTCATTAGAGTGTTTCGATGTTTAGATGAATTATTACGAGCAATGGTTACTGCAGCTAAAAACATTGGGAATTCAGAGCTAGAAATGAAATTTCAAGCGGCTATTAGTAAACTAAGACGAGGTATACCGTTCGCAGCATCTTTATATATTCATTAAATTGGCTATTATAGTTTAGTTTAGTTCAAAAGCTTTTGATTTCGAACGAAGATCTATTTTCGATAAACCGAATTAACTTCCATCAAAAAAATAAAAAATAAAAATAAAAAAATAAATAAATTAATTAAAAATTTCGAGTATTAACTAATACCATCGCTTCATAGGCAAAAGTTTGGATTTATGATCGATATCTTGGCTCTTGTTTATACACTGTACAACTTTTATCCAATGTTAATAACGAGATATTTTAATTCGAGTATGAAGCTCTAAAAATAGAATAATAACCAGTTAGAAGTTTTTCAATTAAGCATGTAATCTTGGCTTACTGTATAAAAGTTTTATAAAACGTATCTAAAAATAAATCAAAAATCTGGGCCTGTCTATTCCCTGGGTATTATCTTATATTACTGGAGTTACACGTTTGCATTTTGAAGTAAATTTGGGTCTTTTACAAATTAATATAAAATTATTTAAACTTAGAAAGCTTATATATTAAATTAATTGATTATACTGGCTAATGAAACGTATACAATATTGCTAGTTAGTAAAGTAAACATTTTAGTTATTTGTTATTTAATCACTAAGATATTTTTATTCAAAGCCTAAAAAAAAATATAATACTGTATATATATATTATATATTACTATATATATATATATATATATTGAATCTATTGTATTCAAATGTTTTACAAATTTCAAAAATTTTGAACTATGGCTTGATATTGTTTAAAAATATTTTTTTTTACTAAAGCGCAAAAAATATTTTTATAAGCAAAATTTTACTGTATATTATATAGCAGCTAATTTTTTTTAAAAAAAATTTTATACTTTTTTTTTAAAAAAAAATTATATACTTTATTTTTTTAAAAAAAATTTTTTAACAGCCTTGCTAGTACTGTACTTTATTAATATACTATATAACTATATACAATAAGTGATAAACTTTGAACCTGTTAGCAAATAGTATATAAGATATAAGTCATTGTTATATATTTATAAATTATCTATATATATGTTTAACTTTATCTGGTTACTTCTTGAGCACTTGTTTATAGCCTGTTATACTACTTTATAGATAGAGTAAAGAGTTTAGCTAATCTGATTTGATATTAACTTTATTGTAGTATATTGTATATCTTTTTTATTTATTTATTTATTTATTTTTTTAAATAGTCATGCTTTTATTTCTCTAAACATGTAACTTTATAATAAACCCCATCAGATATTTTATTATACAAGTCTAATAAAAACTCTTCAAGCCTAAGCCCAAGGTGACTTGTTATAACAACTTATTAGTTTCTTTTGGGTCTTTAACTTTCTAAGGATTTTATACTATGTAGATATGTCTAGTATTGGGCTAGACTAGTACTCGGCAAAATCAAATAAAAATTTGATAGTCAAATACTTAACTAATATTTGACGATCACAATTTCTAAATCGGGTAATGCATAATCTTAATCTAATGCTGATACATACTGTAACAGTAATAAGCTTTGCATAGAACTATATAAGACTAATTTAAATTTGTAAGATCTCGAACTTGGCAATTTTAAATGTCCATGCTTAAGGTAACTTAATACAACAATACATCATAAAGCAGAATAAATTAGTTGCACAACCAGAATCTAGCAAATCATGTATGTAAGAAGATTTAAATCAGTAGAAATTGAACTGAATAATCTATTACTGTATATAAAGTAATTTAGGAGTATAAATCACTACATGCTGTTGTAGTTTGTATGCTACTGTTTTTTTTCATGTAGCTATTTTCTGCTATTTTCTGCTATATTCTTGGTCTATTTAACTAACAAACTATCTTTATATTCTTCCGGGTGTGCTTAAGGTCATCATTTAGCTTCTGGTTTTCTATTTTTTTTCTGGTTCTTAGAAATTTGGAGAAGTATGATTTCTTTGATACTGTGGTTATTGAAGTTTCATCAATGATCATATAATTAACTTTTCTTTTCTCTTTTCTAAGTATTAAAGAACTTTCTCTTTAGTTCTTTGGTGTATTTCATAATTGGACGCGTTACTAGGATTGTATAAGGTCACTGTTTAGCTTCTAGTTTTCCATTTTCTTCTTGGTTCTTAGGAATTTGGAGAAGTATGATTTCTTTGATATGCTGTGATTATTGAATTTTTGTCAATGATTATATAATTAACTTTCCTTTTCTCTTTTTTAAGTATTAAAGAACTTTCTCTTCGGTTCTTTGGCATATTTCATGGTTGGACACATTACTAGAATTGTATAAGGTTACTGTATAGTTTCTGGTTTTTCATTTTCTTCCTGGTTCTTAGGAATTCGGAGAAGTATAATTTTTTTAATACTGTGGTTATTGAATTTTCGTTAATAATCATATAATTAACTTTCCTTTTCTCTTTTTTAAGTATTAAAGAACTTTCTCTTTGGTTCTTTGGCATATTTCATGATTGGACGTGTTACTAGGATTGTATAAGGTTATCATTTAGCTTCCAGTTTTCTATTTTCTTCCTGGTTCTTAGGAATTCGGAGAAGTATGATTTCTTTGATATACTGTGATTATTGATGATTATATAATTAACTTTCTTTTTCTCTTTTTTAAGTATTAAAGAACTTTCTTTTAGGTTCTTTGGTGTATTTCATAGTTGGACGTGTTACTAGGATTGTATAAGGTCACTGTTTAGCTTTTAGTTTTCTATTTTCTTCTTGGTTTTTAGGAATTCGAGGAAGTATGATTTCTTTAATATGCTGTAGTTATTGAATTTTTGTCAATGATTATATAATTAACTTTCCTTTTCTCTTTTTTAAGTATTAAAGAACTTTCTCTTTGGTTCTTTGGCGTATTTCATGGTTGGATACATTACTAGGATTGTATAAGGTCATTGTTTAGCTTCCGGTTTTTCCTGGTTTTTAGGAATTCTATTTATTTATTATTATATATTTCTTTATTTTTATATACTTATAAATTATATTTATATATTTGTAAAGATCTATTACTAACATTTTTTTATTTTTTCTTTCTTTCTGATAGATAATAATTGAGTTTATTATCCGGGGTTATGCATTTTCTACTATTTTGTTTTTTGATAGTATTATTGTTAGTAGTAGACTTATTCATCAGTATCATTAATATTTTATGCATTGTTGATAGTAATTAGGCTGTTTTCTAATATGCTTAACATGTAACAATATTCAGTTAGAATTAGGGTTAGAATAGTAATACTGTTATATGGGCCAATTTTTTTGATTTTTGTAGATCCTTGTCTATTCAAAACACTCAAAATTGTCTTATTTGGGTTTAATTCTGGTCAAATATGCAGATCATTCGGCCTGGGG